CTAGTGCACTCTTCCATTCATCTCGACTTCTTTTGTACAAAGAAGACCCCAAAGTTTCAAGAGCTAATGGAAGACCTCCTGCATAGTTTATGAATTTTTTAGACAGTTCTAGATAATCTTCTTCAAGGTTATCTTTTTTAAAGGCCTTCCTACTAAAGAGATAAAGAGCTTCATCCTCGGTTAATGGCATGACCTCATATACCTTCTCTATCCCATGTTCGACTAACAAGCGTTCATCTCTAGTTGTAATGATGATTCTACTTCCCGAACCAAAGCAGTTTTTTTCTCTGATCACCATTTCCAGTTGGTCTGATTGATCTACATCATCAAGAATGAGAAGAACCTTTTTATTACATAGACACCTCTTTATCATAGTAAATCCATCATAAGCATCATAAAATTGTATATTTTCTTTCCTCAAGATATTGGAAAGAAGCTGTTTCTGTAAAGGAACTAGACCATGTTTTTCATAAACCTCTCTGACATTTGCAAGAAAGCTGCTACCTTCAAAACTATGAGAAATTCTCTCATAAACTAATCTAGCTAGGGTTGTCTTACCCATTCCGCCCATCCCCCATATCCCCACAAAGCGCACATCATTTGCGCTTGTATCTAAATGCAGATCTATTTCCTTTAGTTTAGTATCATGTCCGACTAATATGTCTGAGGAATCTAACAATGAAAATGAGGGATGCACTTTATCCCACACTGCATCAACAATTTCTGTGATAAGCTCTGTTTCATACCTAGAAGTAGAAGAGAAAAAAAATCATCAGATGAGGTTATATGAATATATCCTAGATAAAGTGCGTGGCAAAACTGAAATGCGATATTCAAGAATTGGTCTTATTAGCTATGTGTCAGTTGTTGCTTCATGCTTACCTGTAACCCTTTAGATTCCAGCCAGCGAGATTAGCAACTTTTTCTAAAGCATTTCTCCACTCAAGCACCTCCTCTCTGTCTTCCCCACAATTCCTTTCATGGTTAACGAGGGCTGCCCCAAAACTCCCCCGTTGATGTCGTACATCAGAGGGATCCACGTCATAAAAAATTGGGAAAATTCTCTCCTTCTCTTTCATGGACTGCTAAGAAGCACGGACACGGATACGGATACGGGGATACGATACGACACGACACGGAGATACGACAAATTTTCAAAAATGAGGATACGATACGTCGTGGATACGGTAATTTAAAAAATATATAATAATTTAAAAATAACAATATAATTTAAAACATATTTTAAATAACATAAAAATGATAATATTATTACTTTTAACATACTTCCACTTGTCTTGGTTATAATATTTTATTACTTTTAATAAGACAAACAAAACAAAATCCTTTTGTCAAAACGATAAGACCAGCCATCACGTGGGGTGTGGGTGAAACTGTGAGATTATTAAACAAACAAAATCCTTTGACCCAAAAAAAAAACAAACAAAATCCTTTTGTCAAAAGGATAAGACCAGCTATCAGAACAGAGAAGCACGCGTGAGAAAACAAAATGAAAATGGAGAAGAGAACCCGACGCCGCCAACAATGAAGGATGAAGAAGAAGAAATTGATGAGTAGGGGCACCGCTGGATGAAGAAGAAGAAGATCCCTTGCGTATCCGCACGTATCCCCAGCGTATCGTATCCCTCAGCGTATCGGATACGGGATACGCGCCTCAACCAGCGTATCCGTGCTTCATAGATGGACTGAACAATATGGGTTAGTTCGCGCAAACACCAACTTGATGAAGCATAGTTTGTTGAAAGAACTATGATTGCAAACCTTGATTGTTCAATCGCGGTCAGAAGCTCCGGATTGATATCTGCCCCTCTTTGAAGATCTGGATCATCCCTGAAAGTTCTAATTCCTCGCCAGTCCAACTGTTTGTATAAATAGTCTGTAAAACCCCTGCGAGTGTCTTCACCCCTGAAACTCAAAAACACTTCGTATTTCCATGGACAAACTGCAGTAGCTGAAGCGAAGGCCCTTTGGCTGCTCGATGCCATTGGAAAGTGGTTTCAAGATATCTTCTCTGAGCACGGGATTGTGGAACTAGAATGATTAGAAAGAAAAGAAAAATCAGCACGGATAGAGGTTCCAGGAAGCTACGCAGGTAAGTATTAATGCAATTACTTATAACTCAAGTCAAGCCATTAACTCAGCAATTATGTGTTCAATTCCCTCGGCATCAGTAAGCAAGACACAATCACTTTTGTGAGAAGAAAGAGAACGCATCCCACCAAGTAGGGTGTTGTGGTAAACATTTGTCCTTTCTCATTATTTCCTTTCTATAGTGGGGTGACGTGGATTTCCACTTCTACAATGTTTCATCAGTGTTTGTTCGTATTGATTTGATTCCTTACAAAAGGGGACGGCTTCAAGATGTCATGTAAATATCTTCCTCCCTAGAAAAATAAAACGAAAGTTGGGAACTTGCTTGGACTAGACCACTTTTGCCTTGAAATTTCATTTCACTTTGGCAGTATATTTCACGTTTTTCCTCTTAACCTTTATGGTCCTTAGACGTGTTCAGCTCTTTCTTAGGTATTCCCTCGTTTCTTCTTTCATGTATTTTGGCCCTGTTTTGTGTGGAAATTGTTTTGGCACGACCAGAGTGTATAGTACAACAATGTTTCATCATTGATTGTTTGTTTGTATTGATTCCTCCTTATTAATGAAATAGTTAGAGTTTTCTTTCTTTCATGGTTTCATCACTGAATTAAAGTTATAAAAAATGTATTATTAATCAATAAAACGTAGAGAGAGAGAGCTCAAAAGGTGAAACATTCAAACAAAAAAAACAAAAAACTGTTTAGAGATGGTTTTTATTTGTGAAGCTCCCTACTAAAATTGTGTGGGACTCCAATTATAACTCCAGTACGCTTGTTTTTTTTTTGGTATGCATACAAGTATTAAAGTAACTATACAATTAAATAGTCTAAACAAACAATTTAACTTTATAATATCTTCAAGATTTGAAATCACTTTATCCAAATAACCTTTAAAATGTAAAGTATCTTTGAAATTTATTATTCGCGTATAATACAGGTATTGACTACCTACCAAAGTATGGAATACGGTAAAATAAAAAAAGGGCTAACGATAAAAGACACCTTGCAGGTTTGGGATGGTTCTCAATATAAGAAAAGGAAATGTAAATACAGGGAAGACAAATGCAGCTAAACCTCCCAATCCAAGAGCCATCTACACTATCCTGTTTTTCTTTCATGAGAATGATCAACAGGATGCTGTTGATAATTGAATCATCTGATGAAGAGCACAAGTGGATGAGACCCAAAAGTCTTGAATCTCCACCTATTCACAATGTGAAATTGATAATGAAGAGCGGAATCTGTTGCATTATCTGCAATGGCAGAGTAGTCAAAGCATAAGACTACAACAAATGAGGATGTAGCTTTCCTCTCGGTTTGTACTAGTAGTCTGTGATTCTTAGTATATTATATGATTCTTAATATATTGTGCACATGTCCCAGTTAAACTATTATTTTTGTTATGTAATTCCAATCTTCATCCTTTATTTTTTAATTGGGTTATTTTGAGGTGGAGCCTCAACTTCTTTCATTATATAGAGCTTCATGTGTTAGGGCCCAATGACCACACATGCTCTCACATCACATAATGGCCCCGTCTGGTTAATGAGAAAGGAGGCTTGGAAATGGAAAATCAATTGATTTCTCATGTTTGGTAATGTGGAAAAGGAATCTTCCATTTTCCATCCCTTGGAAAATGACATGGGAAGTGATTTCCCCTCAAATTCGTTCCGTGAACCAAACGAGGCTAATATGTCTTGTCCACACATTAGGCAACTTTCTTTACACCTCTGATACTGGGCCCAACATATTGTGGTGTAGGACTTTTTTGGGTCGAATTATTGTGTTTTAGGATAACACTATGAGCTCTTCACATGTGAGGTTTTTAACGTTACTTAAAATAGGACAGGTGTATCTGTAGTAATGGCGTGGGGACTTTTCGGAATTCTTGGCCTCCTTTGTGTCCTAAAGGCCCCATTTGGTTACAGAAAGCCATTGATAAGCTTAGGAGAGAAAGAAGGAAAAAAAGAAAAGAAAAAAAAGGACAATCACTTTGATGAGAAGAAAGAGAACGCATCAAAGTGGGGATGGGATCCGCTGTCCCCATTTTCCATGTCCCTCCGTGTCCCTTGTATAATTTTTTGACATGTGTCCAACAACTTAACCCTAACATAACACTGTTAACTAATAAATTAGAAAAATAAAAACTAAACATTAAAAGAATAAATATAACCAAACAGCCACCAGTTTGAGCGCCCACCACCTCACCCGCCACCACCCCTTGTCCTCCTCACTGCAAACGAGCCCTCTCCCCTTAGCCTTCACACCAACAAAAGCATGCCATACCTGCAATTAGGGGTGGCTCCAGCCTATGGCAGGCTGGGCTCATGCCCGGCCCAAATTTATTTTAAATAAATATTACCCATATTTTTCTCTCTCCTCTCTTCTCTTTTGCCCGGCCCTAATTTTTGTTAAAAAAAATATTACAAACACTCTTATCTCTCTCCTCTCCTTTTTTTTAGGGTAATGATTTCTCACTCCAATTTTATCCACATATACACTCCTTTTTTAGTTATAAAATGAAGTGTAAGTGGATAAAATTGGAGTAGGGAAATCACCACTCTTTTTTTATTCTTTTCCTCACACTCTCCTCTCTCCTCTCTCCTTTTTTTTTTAATTTTTATTTATTCTTTTCCTTACACTCTCCTCCTCTCTCCTTTTTTTTTATTATTATTTTCTTTCTCTCCTCTCTATCTCTCTTTTTTTTTTCGGTTGTTTTCCTTCTCTCTTCTCTCCCTCTTTTGTTTTTTTCTTTCTTTCTTCTCCTTCTCTCATCCCTCCTCTCTCTTTTTTTTCTGTTCTTTTTCTTCTCTCTCTCTCTCTCTTCCTTATTTCTTCAGTTTCTCTCTTTTTGTTAGAAAAATATTACCAACATTACTTATGATTATTTAAAAAATTTGTCTTGCACAAAGATAACTATTTCAGAAATTGCGAAACATGATTGATAGGGTTGTGGAGCTCGAGGTGGAAAGCTAAAAACGGATGTCATAATAAACGTTTATAAAAGGAAACAATGAGAGAAATGAGGTCACAACTCGTTAAAAAAAAAACCTAGCTCCACCAATTTTCTTCCTTCCCATTTCTCTCGAAATAAATCTGGTTTTTTTTAAAATTAATGTAGTCCTCTATATTATCTTTCTTTTTAATGTGAAATAATTTTTTTTTCTATTTTTTTCTTTTAATTTTTCTTTTGGTTTTTATTTTAGTTTTTGTATTTGTATTTGTAGATATAAATGCATTTGAGGATAAGGCTTATTACGTCTCCTCTCACTATGTAATTTTTTTTTTATGTTTATTAATGAAATTCACTCGTTTTGTCAAGTTTGTTATATAAGTTTTGCCCAGTCGACTTTCGAATCCTGGAACCGCCACTGACTGCAATGGAAAGATTTAGAAAACATTGCACTTCCTGTCAAACAAGTTATTTTGGTAAAACCAATCAAGTTTAGGGTAAGGGTTTTACCTCTCCCCTCAGATCCGTTGGCACTCCCCCATGAACTAGAGACTCCAGTTCTAGTTTCCAAGGAAAGAAAGGCTCTGGAGGGACCCCATTAGCCACAGCTTCCTCTGTCCCAATACTTTGCACACTGTTAGGGACACCACCATCCATAGCCTTTACTTCCCCAGCAACTTTCACACTGGCAGAGAACCCATCACTTACAGAATTTTCTGCAGTGAAGGTATCCAGACTGTCGTTCAAAGCATCGCAGTGAGGTTGCCATAGATAGGAGATTGAGAGAGACTAAGGGGAGAGGGCTCATCTGCAGTGAGGAGGATAAGGGGTTGTGGCGGGTGAGATGGTGGATGCTCAAACTGGTGGCTGTTTGGGTATATTTATTCTTTTAATGTTTAGTTTTTATTTTTCTAATTTATTAGTTAACAGTGTTATGTTAGGGTTAAATTGTTGGACACATGTCAAAAAATTATATGAGGGACACGGAGGGACATGGAAAATGGGGACAGCGGATCCCATCCCATCCCGGTGAAGTTTCCGTGGGGTGTTGTTGAAAACATTAGTACTTTCTCATTATTTCCTTTCTATAGTGGGGTGGTGCGGTTTTCCACCTCTACAGTGCCCTCCCCTCTCCCTTTCATCTGAACTTTCCTGTGAATTAATTAACTTTAGTAAGCAAACGTGGACCAGACCCGAGCCAATTAACTTTTTTAGGAAAAGAAAAAGGTAAAGGAAAATGATACATCCCCCAAACCACGGAAGCTTTCCTTGAAATTTCCATTACTTTTTTGGTTGAAAACATTCGTCCTTTCACTTTGTAAAAGACTTTCATGTTTTTCCATTCCTTTTTTTTTATTTTTTATCCAACCTTGTCCTTTATCCTGAGTATTGGACGTGTTGAGCTCTTTTTTGGGGATTTCCTCGTTTCTTCTTCGGTTTCTTGCCTTGACTTTTGGGTCTCTTTTCTGTGGAAATTATTTTGGCATCGCAGGCAATGTAAATTTACTTTTTCCTCTTGAGAGTTTACATTTTATGGATTGTGCTATGATATGATGTTCATTAGAAAATTTGGTTGGCTGAGTAAGATTCCCCTGACTTTAATAGCCATTCAACTTATCTGTACTACAGTGTTTCATCCGTGAATCATTGTCTGGAAGAATCCCAACATATCATTGAGGAGTCTTATTTTCTTGTCATTTTCAAAGTCTCCTACAATAATCTTCAAGGACTAATAGCAACGAGTACTCAGCTCCAGAAACTTTGTTGTGCTCCCCTCCGAAATGAGTGCCTGGGAACTAATGGGATTGATGCAGGTAATAAGAATAACCAAGATGTGGACAATGGGCATGAAATCTCATGGTTTTATATTTCCCTTGCGCTTGGATTCACTGTGGGATTTTGGGGAGTTTGTGGTCCTTTAATGTTAAAGACGACATGGAGATATGCATATTTCCAATTTCTAAACAATGTACAAGACACGTTCTATGTAATGATCAGAGTGTGTGACCAGGATGCAAAGAAGGGTTAGGATCTAGATTGTACTTTATACTTCTGTTTTTTGGTCTTTCTGTAACCTAAGGAATGTTTCGTTGTAACCTACTTCAACTCAACCAATAAACTCTGGAGAGGAACCTCGATACATTCTCTCCGTACATACCACCTCACAACATCATCTACCCGATATCAAACATGCGCACATGGTTCTTATGTACTTCCAATACGTTAAAATCAACTTCCGATACATTAAAATCGACTTCAAATACGTAATCAAAAATCTGCTTCCAATAAGCCATTAAGGCCTCATCATGAAGTTCACAAAAAACTACCATACTTTTTCTTCATTTTTCGAAGACCAATTACCACTAAAAGAAGTATAGTATGCTTGGATAATGAGGAAGTCCCAACAAATTCACCTCCTCTAAAAGTACAATTCTTGTACTTCTGACCTCACAAATACTAAACCCTGAAAAACCATGCCCAAATGAATAGGGAGAGGCACCACTTGTTATAAAAAATAAAAAGATTAAGGAGAGGCACATATGCATCCAATATAAAGATCAATCACAAATACTAAAGAAACAAAATCTAATGTGGCATAGTGAAACTCCATCTACATACACAGTAAACAGGCAAAATGGATTATTCACTATCTAAAACCATAAAAAAAAAAAAAAAATTAAAGGTACCAGAACATAAAGACCAAATTCAATACCAAGCCTCAAACTATCCGCATTTCATTGCTTCCTGATGTCCCAATCTATAGGACAAATTATGCCCCTTTGCTTCCCATGAACTAGCCAAAAACCTCTCACTTGAAACATGAACGTAACAGGTATTCATCTCATCTAAAAAAATATATATTTAACAGATACGAACTCTCTCAATGTAGAGGAACAGTGAAAGCAAATCTACCATGGAGAGGAAGAATTGTTTAGCTAACGTTTAGTCTCCCCACTACCCTCTCTGGTGATCAATAGTTAAACCTTTCTCTTTGTAAAGCAAACACAAATACAACTGTGGTGATTGAAAAAACAAAACCAAAAACCCTTAGCATTTTGATAGCATATGCGACAACAAATATATATTTGTTTTACGTTCAAAAACTAGCATCAAATATTCAAAACATTGTGATGCATCAATGTTGCATCCTAAGGTACTTTCGAAAGCATTTTCTCCACTTGAGTAGAGCCACAGTAGCCATTGTACATGGAAAAGGAAAAGCACAAGAGTTTATTTGACACTACCCAAAAAAGTATGCATAATTCCGACTTCTCAATATTTATCTGGATGCAAACTGTAATATTACACTTAAATGTAATGTACACAGGCATTAGGTTTATACAATTAACTACACTGAAATTGATGCAGAAAGAAGTTCTGGCAAAGTTCTACCTATCATGTGAACTTGGTGAAGCAGTATGCAAGAAAATCTACAAGTTGCACAAAATTAAGAAATTCAAAATATCGCTGACATATTGCAACTGTAGAGCACCACTCTACATTCCTGTTTCTGTAAATCAAGAGAGATATGGATAGAAACCCATTCATGAAAACACAATCTTACAATTGCAAAACCAAGAGATGCATACTCTAATCAACATGCATGGGCTCCGAGCCCCCACTTGCATCCTCCATTCCGTGTTTGTGCTCTTTCTCCTCATTCAAACTCTTCTGCTCTTCCTCTATGGTGTTCTGCAACTCATCCACCTGCAAAAACATCAAATACAACCAAAATTAAATCTACTTTCAAAAGGGTTCTACTGCTTAACGCAGGCAACATAATCGAAAATTGGGGAATTGAACAGAGCTGCATACCACATGCAAGAGCAGAGCAATCTCTTTCTTCAACACCCACACATCATATATTGATTTCTCTCTGTTTTTTTGTTTTTTTTTGGCTTAATATATTTAACTGAATGTGAAGAAGGATAATACTTTGTGATAATGGAATGGCAGGAGAGATTCCTTAGATCTGGAGAAGAAATCAATACATGGTGCGATTTGACTCCCCAAAACCGCACCTTCACTGTTCCCTGACAGACAGAACCCAAGCTCTCTCAGCTTCACCATTCCAAAATTTCCAAAACTGCCCAATAGATATAATAAAATTTGAAGAAAAAAGGAAGAAAGAGATTCAAACGTAGAGAGAGAGAGAGCTCAAAAGGTGAAACCTTCAAACAAAAACATCACACACAGCATCAGGAGGATCCTGAAGCCATGATGATGTTGCTGGTAAAGTGAGAGCCAAACGAGGCGGTGTGCCACTCGATTAGTTTCTCTGTAATCAAACTGAATGGAAATATTCTCTAACTGGGAAAGTTAAAACTTGCAATCGGAAATTATATATATACTAAAACTGAGTTCAGGAATTCACTGTTCCTAGACTGTAGCTTAGCAATAGTGAAGTGACGGTTTTGCCCTCACTTAGGAGATGGTCTGCTTCCTTGAGCTGACTTTTGAACAGTGAATTGGCCGTTATGCCCTCCAGCCCTGTTCTCTTTTCTTCGAACCTCTTCCCTTCATCGCAGCCCTCTCTCTCTCTCTCTCTCTCTCTTCTCTCTTCCTTTCTCTCATCAGCTGCGAACGTTTCGTTCGCTCAGAAAACCCAATTCCATCGTCTTTTTCTCACTGTGAGAACCGAAGATGTCAGTTTCAGCTGTGTTGGGGCCTCAATTGGTGGCTATGGGTGTGGCCGTGAAGAAGCCATCTGCGACGGCGTCGTTTGGGGTCCCAAAGACATCCCCATGGCGCGGCTCAGTTGGTGGAGGTACTTTTTATTGAAATCACTTGGGTTTCTGTGGAAACTCAAGGACATAAAGGAAAAAGTTTGTGTCTTTGTTCTATTATTATGTCTTTGCTTTGGTAAGCAGGATATGCTGCTATTTGAAATTTTTAGGGTTTCGTAGAGAACTGAAATTCTTTGAGTTTAGCAAAGAATTTTCAAATCTTTAAGGACAACGACTACGTAAATATAGTTATTTTGTGATTTTGATTGTTTAAGGTGACTTTTCATTACTTAGGCAGGTTTTTAAATTAAAAAAAAGGATTAAAATTGATGAATATTTCAATTGCTGGTTGCTTAGGCGGGTTTTGATAAATAAAAAAAATAAAAAAAAAGAAAGATTAAAATTGATGAATATTTCAATTGTTGGTTATATTTATTATTTGGTTTCTCTTTTGATCTTCCTTTTTAATCGTTTTTGTTGATTGATATAGTGATTGTTTTTCTTTTTCTTTTTTATAATTGTTTTGGGTTGTGTTCGATTTATGCTCAAAAGAATTGCCCCCAGTAGAGAGATAAATTAGACAAATTTGGGGGAGAGATAGATTTGATGAACCAAGATAAAGATATTCTGTATAACTATGAACGGCATGTAAGACATAATTTAAGACCTGCATTTAGTGTAGGACATTATCAGAGAAACATTTCAAATATTAAGATTTCAAGAAGATTAAGAAGAAGAAAAAAAGAGTAAAGATGATGATCCTTTATAGTTTTTATAATCTAATGAAGCATTGGAGTCACCTTCTTTCTTAATGTCAGTGCAGTTTTCTGACTGGTGGCTTTTCCCTAGCCTGTATTTCTGCACAAGAAAACAAAACAGTTTTACAGTTATGCTTTTCCATAATAGTCTGAAAAAAGACTGGATGTGATTAACCAAGAAAAGGGAGAAAAATGCCTGTGAGTGGCTCTTTAGGTGGTACAGAGTGAGTACATGAATTCCCGTCACCCTCATCAAACTCTTTAGTGTGACCTCTGCCCATATGTGAAACAAAGACATTAGAACTTTGTATAGAAATAGAAAGAAACTAAAAAGGGATTTGAAGAAGAATATCAATCAAGCTTATATACTCAACTGTCTGCCCCACCAAGCTGATTGACTGCTTCAACAAATCTTTGATGAAGTTCTGCAGTCCATTTTAGCCCGGGCTTTGCATCAGTGGACAAAACCAAATTCATATTCTGATTTTGCATATTCTGCAGCAGACCCATTTTTGTATTGTGGATGAGAGAGAAAAGAAGGCAACATAAATGTTGGTTAGGAGCCTTAAAAGCTTTGATCAAATTTGTGGCGTTTGGAGTAGTTGGCCTATCCTGTGTTCTCACTCCATATCTGGAAACATAAGTGGGGTTATGTTGGCGGAATATATGCCATGAGTTGTAGTTCCTCCTTTCCTTCCATCTCTCATTTCATACCAACTTTAAAAATAAAAAAATAAAAAATTTATTCTCTCACTTTGACTTGAAAGGGGTGGAGAGAATCTCTGATGCAGCAAAAACAGATAAAGCAACACAGTTCAATTTGAGTCTTAAAAGGAGAGAAAAGAGAAAAAATGTATGGTTTGTTTTATCTTGCTGTTTTCCCACTCTCTCTCTCTCTCTCTCTCTCTCTCTCTCTCTCTGTGTCCAGAAATCCAAATTCAAAAGGGCACTCTGGGATTTTGTTGCTTGCAGAGTTTATTTTCTATGTTTTTCGTTTTGATTCATTGCAACTGAGGTATTCTAGCTATCTCAACCTTTGATTGTTGCCTTTGATTGAACTGGTTGATGATTTTACTCTAGATTTGGATTGTTTGGAGTCTTTTTGTCATATTTTATTTTAAATTTAAAACTTTTGTTCTCCAAGCAAGGAATTGATTTTTAATACATGAGGTTGATAAACAAAACCTAAGGGTACATCTTCTCTCTCTCTCTCTCTCTGTAAAAGACTTATTTACAGTCTTTTCTCTCTCTCTAACCCGAAAGAGTACAGCTGGACCCATGGGCAGCACCAACTTCTGATTCTGTACTCTAATTTCTAATTATTAAGTTCTGTGTGTATAGAGTATAGATTGAAAAATTAAAAATTAAATGTAGAAGTGGATTTGATTCTCTTTCTCCAACCTTTAACATAGTTTAATGCACACTTTTAAATGTGTATTTGTGGGATTTTAATTTCAACTCATACTAGAGGACAAGAACCTTTAATGTTTGCTTTTGATGTTTTGTAGGTGGTGTTCTGCTGCTTTAGATAGAGCTGTTTGGTGGTTGTTTTT